GTCCGATTTGCCAAAAGCCGGTAGTGAGCGAGCTTTGTAGGCATTCTTATACTGAGAGTAGCAATGATCCAGTGTATTCGGACCTCTAGTTGGACAGGATATATGTTGATAAAAGTTCGGCATGACCTGCCTGAGGTTGGCTTTGTTAAAGTCCCCCGCGATGATAAAAGCAGCGTCAGGATGTTTGTTAATGTAACCGCTGAGCACATCGTGAAGCTTAGACAAAGCCAAGCTGGTGTCTGCATATGGTGGAATGTAAACAGCAGTAATGATGATAGATGAAATCTCCCGGGGCAGATAGAATGGGCGGCAAATAATGGATAAATGTTCCAGATGAGGCGAGCAGGAGCGCGACAGAGTGGAGATATTCCTGGGGTCACACCACTTCTTGTTAATCATGAAACACACTCCACCACCTTTGGATTTCCCGGCCTCGGCTGTTCTGTCCATCCTTAAAACAGAGAAGTTATCAGACAGCATTACAGCAGTGTCCGGGACCAAGGTCGTTAGCCAGGGCTGTGTGCTCTTTTCCTCAGTCTGTTGCGAATCCCAGTGCGTTTCCCGCGGTGTTTCTTAATCTGTTGCCGCGGTGGGTTATTCAGGTGGCCATTGTTCATCTCGGCGTTCCAGAGAATCTCAGATGGCCACGATGGGTTGGAGGATAAAGTGTCCTGAAACAGGTTAGTGTAGCGATGTCCAATGTCCAAAAGTGTTCTTTTGTCGTAAGTGATCAGTGCAGACGATATGTGTGTAAAAAGAGAGAGCAAAAGAAAGTACAAAAGTAAATAAAAGCACAATCTAAGTGGAGCGACCTGGACGGCGTCCGAACTCAGCAGCGCCATCTTGTAATGAATAACTGGGATAACTAATAACAAGGAACAGGTGATACTAATAATGGGGAAAGGAACTGGAAGGACCAAATAAGGACAACAGGAACATACACGTGACAATTTTATCCTTACATTCTTAACTTTAATGCAGATTTTGTATTGGTTAATATTAGCTGTCAATCTCTCAGTCACTGCCTTCCGCTAACTACCGTGAGAAAAAGAAAGGGCTGAAGAAGAGAGAAAATGAAAAGAACACTGACAGGTTTCTTTTGTAAACAACCTAAAGTTAAGCTCTTCTTTGGCGAGGGTTAGGATGGTGTATGCGGTGTTAAATTTTACATTCAGCTCTGCCAATTGCACCGAACGGCTGGCAGCTAGGGGTGTGCAATATTGACAAAAAATTATATCTCTATATTTTCTAGGATTTTATCGATAACAATAATTTGACTGAGTGTTACTGTGCTGATATCTTAAGGACTGCAGTGGACAGCTGACTCCTAAAAATGTTTATATTCTTCATATTCTGTCTGGTGGTCAGTTCACAGCAGTGACAGAAATGAATCTTTTCCAATAAGTTTAAATAGATTTTGACCTTTTATGGTCATTTTTACCTTAAAGCCATTTTTTTCTAAAAGTGTGCATTATCATTCGAGTCAAATTCTTATATTTAATCAGTCAATTATAATAAGACATTTGGGCTGTTATCAAGCGTATATATATATTAAATATATATATATTAAATATATATATATTAAATATATATATATATATATATATATATATATATATATATATATATATATATATATACAGAGGGGGGAAAAAGTATTTAGTCAGCCACCAATTGTGCAAGTTCTCCCACTTAAAAAGATGAGAGAGGCCTGTAATTTTCATCATAGGTATACCTCAACTATGAGAGACAAAATGAGAA